CCCCCCCCCCCCCCCCCCCCCCCGGGTTCAACCGATTCCCCTGCCTCAGCCTCCTGAGTTTCAAGTAGCTGGGACTAGAGACATGCGGCCACCAACCTTGGCTAATTTTTTTATTTTTAGTAGAAATGGAGTTTCACCATGTTGGCCAGACTGGTCTTGAACTCTTGACCTCAAGTGATATGCCCGACTCAGGCTCCCAAAATGCTGGTGTTACAGGTGTGAGCCACCACTCCCTGCCTAAATGCTGCTTAGTTTTGCTTGCTGATTTTGCTCTGTGATGATGATGATAATGATTTTTTTTTTTTTTTTTTTTTTTGCCATATTTCAGTGCTGGGAAGAGCAGGTGCCTTGTTTTTTTCCAGCTAACATCAGAGCCTGCAGAACTCTTACCATAGAGAGGGGAGTCTGGAATTCAGCCAGTATGTATGTGACAAGTGGTGTGTTGTTGAATGTGATGCCTTGTTGAATATTGCAACCTTAGCTTTTTTCATCTTTAAGTTGCTGTTCATTATTTATTATTTTGCCTTTAAGAATGAGAAGTTGGCCAGGTATGGTTCATACCTGTAATCCCAACATTTTGGGAGTCCAAGGTGGGTGGATCACTGGAGCCCAGGAATTCGAGACTAGCTTGGGCAACATGGCGAAACCCCGTCTCTACCAAAAAACACAAAAATTTGCCGTGCATGGTGGCACATGCCTGTAGTCCCAGCTCTTCAAGAGGCTGAGGTAGGAGGATTGCCTGAGGCCAGGAGGTGGAGGTTGCCATGAGCTGAGATCACACCATTGCGCTCCAGCCTGGGCAACAGAGCAAGACCCTGTCTCAAAAAAAAAAAAAAAAAAAAAAAAGAGGGAGAAGACAGTCTCAGTTTCCACAATTGATTATATCTTTTCTTAACACCTTAAGTCCTTACTTCAAAGGGATCATTTGAAAGGCTGAATAGGTGTTTTTCTAAGCTTTAGTTAATGCCTGGAGAAGTATCTTGATTATTTTGGTCTGATATATTATTTGTCACGTCTGATTTGTAAATTGAGGTGTAAAACAATTGAATATAACCAGATGCTTCCCAAATACATCCAGGGTTCTCTGCTTAGTGTCCTGGAGGTGATATGGAGCAATATGTGGTTCTTGCCCTTAAGGACATTACACTTTTTAGGGAAAGACAAGGCAAACATGGAAAAAGTGACAACGTGAAGGGAATGAAGATATGTGGTTTAGAATTCAGAGAGGGGATTTTCATAGCATTGGTGTTGAATTTTGAGGGATAGGTACATTTCAGATTGAGAATTCCAGAGACTGTGAGGTTGCAACAGGAAGAGGGGGTTGATGAAGAAAGGAGAAACATTTAATAAATCATGTTTTTTTTTTTTTCTTTTTCTTTTTTTTTTTTTTTTTAGACGGAGTCTTTTGCTGTTGCTGGAACTGGAGTGCAATGGCATGATCTCAGCTCACTGTAACCTCCGCCTCCCAGGTTCAAGTGATTCTCCTGCCTCAGCCTCCCAAGTAGCTGGGGTTACAGATGCCCACCACCACAGCTGGCTAATTTTTTGTATTTTTAGTTCGAGACAGGTTTTGCTATGTTTGCCAGGCTGGTCTCGAACTCCTGACCTCATGATTTGCCAGCCTCGGCCTCTCAAAGTGCTGGGATTACAGGCGTGAGCCACTGTGCCTGGCCTTGTTTTTTTTCCACCACTAAAAATTGTTGTATACTGTATTTTTTATAGTGTACAACATGATTTGATATATGTATACACTGAATGGTTAAATCAAGTTATTTAACGTGTATTACCTCACATACTTATTTTTGTGTGGTGAAAACACTTAAAATCTACTGTCTTAGCATTTTCAAATATACAATATATTATTATTATTATTTTTTGAGATGGAGTCTTGCTCTGTCACCCAGGCTACAGTGCAGTGACTCACTGTAACCTCCATCTCCTGGGTTCAAGTGAGTGATTCTCCTGCTTCAGCCTCCACAGTAGCTGGGATTATAGGCGCCCATCAACACGCCTGGCTAATTTTTATATTTTTAGTAGAGACGGCGTTTCACCCAGTCTGGACTTGAACTCCTAACCTTGAGATCCACCCACCTCAGCCTCCCAAAGTGCTGAGGTTATACAGGTGTGAGCCACCGCATGCACCCGGCCAATATATAGTGTATTCTGATTTTTTTCTTTTTAAGTAGAGACAGAGTCTTACTTATTGCCCAGGCTGGTCTTGAACTTGTGGGCTCAATTGATCCTCCCATCATAGCCTTCCGAGTTAGTAGATAGGTGTGTGCCATCATGCCTAGCTAATTTATTTTTCTTTTTTGTGGAGATAGGATTTTGCCATGTTGCCCTGACTTGTTTCAAACTCCTGGGCTCAAACAGTCTGCCTGCCTCAGCCTCCCAAAGTGCTGGGTTACAGGCGTGAACCATTGTGCCTGACTTGATACATGGTTTTTACTTTTTTTTTGTTTTTGAGATGGAGTCTTGCCCTGTCGCCCAGGCTGGAGTGCAGTAGCATAATCTCGGCTTACTGCAACCTCTGCCTCCTGGGTTCAAGTGATTCTCCTGCCTCAGCCTCCTGAGTAGCTCGGATTACAGGCATGCGCCACCATGCCTGGCTAATTTTTTGTATCTTTAGTAGAGATGGAGTTTCACCATGTTGGCCAGGCTGGTCTCAAACTCCTGACCTTGGGATCTGCCCGCCTTGGCCTCCCAGAGCACTGGGATTACAGGCTGAGCCAACACACCTGGTCTGACCAACGTAGTTTTTGTTTTTAATTTTATATGGTGCATCACATTTATTGATTTGCATGTGTGGAACTAACCTGGATCCCAGGAGTAAAGACTACTTGATTGTGGTGGATTAGCTTATTTATTTTTCTTTTTTTTGTTTTTTGTTTTTTTGTTAGCTTTTTATTTTTTTATTTTTCTTTTTTTGAGATGGAGTCTTGCTCTGTCGCCCAGGCCGGATGGAGTGCAGTGGAACAAGTTTGGCTCACTGCAACCTCTGCCTTCTGGACTTAAGCGATTCTTGTACTCACCCTCCTAAGTAGCTGGGATTACAGGTGTGCAGCACCAGGCCTGGCTAATATTTGTATTTTCAGTAGAGACATGGTTTCCCCAGGTTGGTATTGAAATCCTGACCTCAAGTGATCTGCTCTCCTTGGCCCCCCAAAGTACTGGGATTACAGGCTGCTGTGAGCCACCACAACAGC